ATTTTTTAACACAAAGTCAAAACATAACAGCAACAATGTTGTATTATAAAATTTTTTTTTTTTTTTTTTTTTTTTAAGTGTCACGTAAATTAGGCCTGCACGAATAAATACAGATCTGTTATAGGCCTTTGACTGGCCTTACTTGTATTAATAAACAAGCTACCTTTACAAAACGCATGCACGCAATAAATATAATTAATCTCAGATTAAGCTACATTTTAAAAAGTTTCGCAGTGCAACATCAGGCCTTTTTGTTGATCCTCTAAACCTCAAGAATCGACTGTCTTTTTTTCTCCCCAACACACCCTTTCGCGGGAACGTGCTTTGTTACAAAGTCGGTCTTCTATCATTTTTCTAATCTTTTCAAAAGAGACTGTCTGAAACTCCTCACTCCCCCTCTTTCTTCTTCTCCCACTTTGCCATTGACATCCAGCGATTGGTCAAGCGCAGTGAGTCGACAGCCAACGACCGAGTCACGCACTACGTAAACTTTTGACCCCTGAACTATTTGACCCCGCCAAATCTCGCGCCACTTCTAACGAGACTACGTTCACCTTCTCCCGCTCCTTTGGATTAAACGTAGACAGAGAGAGAAGGGAGAACGAGCCAATCTTGTGCCTAAACCATAGTTTTATGCTTCCTGATTAACGACAAAAGCATTGAACTAGGCTGGCTCACGATGTAAGCTTCTACATGCTGTCTCCTATAAGTACTATTATTAGCACTTTTCAGATCACGAAAAAAAGCTACGAAATCTATCGGATCGAATTTAGGATAGTATTCTATGTTGATAATTTAAATCGCGTATTTCTAGATGTTTCCAAAAGCTTTAGTCCTTAGAACAGGGCGACAAACAGAAACCGGCAGCCTCAGACATCATGATCTTGGTCTAAAGCTATATATATATATATATATATATATATATATATATATGTATATTTTGACTTATTTGCCATAAATATTGCTTTACATTTAAATTTCAGAAATTTATCATCATAACTTTAGTAATGATTTAAAGTTTAATTCGAATTATTTTCCCAATTAAATGTTTAGATTATTAGCTATTACAAATATCAATATTTATAAATGTGTTGTTCGTTATGTAATGTAATGTTTGTTAAATTATTATAGCCTAATTATGATTTATGTATATGCAAAATATTTGAACAACATAAACAGTGTCATTTTTTGTCTTATGTATCGCTTTTAGAATTGTTCACGTAAATAAGTACTTTTTATTATACTTTATATATTCTCCACACTTGAACAGCCTACATATTTGCAGAATTTGTAGTATCTAATCAGGATTTTTGTTTTTATCGAACTCGGATCATTTTTAGTAGGCTATAGGCCTGCGTCTTAAACGGAATAATCGGATATAATCAATCTGTGGCTTTGTGGTTAACGCAGATATGGCGAGCAGGCGATGCAGTTCAAATTCTGCTTGTATCATCTGCCAGTCCTGTTCACCCTTACTCTTCCTGTTCTATATATTTGCTATGTGTAGAAAGTGTCAAGAAGGCCAACAAAACATGCAGAAAACATAAATGTGGGATTTCTTGTTTGTTGTGCTGGCTTTAAATTGAATTGAAGGATCAATACAAATGTTAAAAATAAAAAATAAAACAATGAAATAAAACATCCTTAATCAAGATACCCAATTTTTAGGACAAACATCGCATAATTTTGCTTTATGGACTCGTATTGTTTCGCGCTTGCGCCTTCGCAGCAGCGCCCGTCTGCTGACCCCTGGATGATCCCGTCCCTATGCATTATGGATGAGATATGCTCGGAGATTGCCCCTAGCAAAACGCATTAGTCTTAAAATTGCTATTTAAACGTCCGAAATTGCTGCGTCTACATGGTAGAGGCTTCATGGAAATCATAGAAATTGATTTTTAGTACCAGATGCTCAATGGGCAGAGAATGCTGGAAACTTTATATTGAAATGTCCTGTTAAATAATTTCTCTGAACCTCGTTACATCAATAAAAAGTACAGTAATACCAAATAGTCGTATATGTCTTTGGGCTAAACTTCATTCATAGACTGTAGTCTTTGATCCCCTGAGTTTGTGTCAAAACGTAACACACACCCTGAAAATATTTCTCTGACGCACAAACACACCTAGAATTAACGCCCTGTCGCCTCAGTGACTCACAGCACAGCACATACTCAAGGGAATTTGCTATTCCTCATTTTGCATTGTTTTGTATTTGCACTGTATGCTATAAGTATGGACTTTATGAAAGTGGTTGACCTCGATTGTGGTTGTATGGAAGCTTGTCTTTTTAAGGGACTTTCTAAAGGAATGCTCGCATTTTTTTTCATGGAGGCCAGAGCCCTCCCCACTCATATCATTAAAAAGGAAGCTGATGAAAAATGAAACGGTAGCCCTCGACTCATGCTCGCGACCACAATTTCGCCTTCCTGTTTACGGCCTGAAACTTCCTAACTCTGTTGCTCGGACATACCCACACACGCATACACACACAAACTCTCCTTTACTCTCTCTTGTGCGCTCTCTCTCTCTCCCTCCTTCTCCCTCTTTCTCACACACAGAAATGCCAAATGGAGGGCTATAAAATCTGTAACACTCATTGAAAGTAGGCTGTAAAACACCCTGAAAGCTTAACATTTATTATTTTGGAGGTAATGTTGATGTTAAATGCAGATGAGCAGGAAAGATGAGAACCAAACAAGTATTTGATAAGAAAAAATAAGCATGAGTATTTGATTTTCGATTAATTTACAACGTGTTTTCTAATAAAGGTTAAGGTCTGGCAAATAACCAAAAGCCGGTCCCGAAAATCAATGTCCAACATATTGTATTACAAATACAGACATCCTTTTATTTATTTATTATTTTAGTACCGTCTGTAATGAAATAATATGCAATTTAGAGGATAGTTCAAATAGCTAAATATTACTCGTATTAATATCCATTGAATAATTAAATTATTAAAGATTATTAAATAATATCAGGTAACTGTTTTGTAACTGTCAAGTTACACGCACTAACTGTAGTCACGGTAAAGTTTGGTGGGATTTACAGTACATTCAATAAACAGCAGCAGTCAAGTCTTAGTTTCTCTGTTGGTACAGATAAAAAAAATAGCGAGAGGTCATTCCCGCTGCCTTGAGTGTAATATAATGATATACAGATTCAAACTGTATTGCGTTGAACTCGAACTGACCTGAGGCGACAAAAGTGCTCTGACAGAACAATCAAAAATATTTATTCAGAAAGTATAATTTTACTGTAGGACTTTCTATATTATTATAGCTATTTGTCTGTGATAAACACATAGTTAGATCATAGTCTAATCAAATACTTTGCTCCAGTTGCCCATTTAAGAAAGTACAACAACTTTGTGTTCATTACGCGCTTCCTCCCTGAAAAATACAGGGGCGGGGAAGGAACAAAGCTTTGCTTGTAGAACCGTAGGGAGGCATATTGTCATATTGTTGTCTGTGTGTGTGTGTGTGTGTGTGTGTGTGTGTGTGTGTGTGTGTGTGTGAAAAAGAGAGAGATCCAGGGAGATGGTTTTCACATATTTCACAAAAATGATTCGCAATAATGTACAATCGCAATATAACTAACGATTATAAAAATAAAAAAGTCAACAGCTTTTTAATATAAATGAAACTTAAATCCAAACACACACTTAAGCACAAACACATATATAGATAGATATAGACATATAGATAGTTATAGATATAGATAGATATTTACACGATTAATTAGACCGAAGTTTCATTGGGAAAAACTTTTTAAAGACGGCTTTTTAAAATAAATAAATAAATAAAAATAAGATGACCAAAGATAATTTACTAATTCTATTAGTAATGTACTGTAATGACACAGCTAATATCTAACGACCTCTTCTTGCACTCAGAGAAACAAAATGATTGACACTTCTACTTGAAACATACCCCTCCTTTCCTTCCCACATCTTCCTAGATCAAATCACCGGCCAGTGCAGCCTTAAATTGAACTTACTTTGACTCTGCACGGTCCACTATCCATATTTCCGCCTCCAAATGAGTAGAACCGGAGAGACATTGCACCGACTAGACACTGGCACTGTAGTGGCCTACTGGTACGCTCTTCCTCTCACAACTGACCCTTTAGAATCCCCTCGAAGCAGTTAAACCGTCACTTGCATTCTAGAATGTGAAATATATAGTACATTGTCAACTCCCCGAAACCATAAAACTAACTTTATGGACCCCACGTGACTTTTGAGAGCCAGTAAGGGGTATCTGTCTGTGGCCTGGGCGACTTTTACGATCTAACTTCAAGATAAAACGCTCATTCGTTTGACATGTAAATGTCATAGCTACTTTTTGTATAGTTTGGGCAAAGGGAAAAGCAAAATTACAAAAGGCAAGTGGCCGTTGGTACACTGCGGGGACTTCTGCTCGGCTCTCAAAACTTAGAGGTAGAAGAAGAGTTTGGCACGCATGGTAAGTTTAAAGGTTCAGTGCTTGTTTACTAGGACGCAGAAATGCAGGGGTATACGTAGTAGAGCGTTTGTAAATTATATAAACATTCTGGAAAATGTGTGTTGTTTAGAATTAGCTGGACTATAGAAACGTCTTAAATTCTATACACGCCAGGTTTTGGTGAATATTTCTCCCAATGTCTGTTTTCGCTTAATAGTAAGGACATTTTAGCATTTTGCTATTAGTGTCCAAGTTGAGTGTGAACTGTCAGTGTAGGACAAGGATCTGCACATGGCGTAGCAAAACGTTTCTCAGTAATTTAAAGGACCGTACTGCATTTTGAGTTTCAGAGAATATTATGAGTGTGCAATCGAAAACTGTCAATCATTGACAATAATTAGTTGTCTCGATTCTGTGTAAAATTAAGAATTGTCAAGAAATGTATTAGGTTTGAATATGAGGAACTTTATTTTTTTTACTCCAAGTTAAACTACAAACAAATACAAAAAGCTTTTTGGCAAAATGCTAACAGGCAGTTCGACATGACATTGCTTTTTTTTTCGTTTTCCACACGTTTGCCGTTCATTCTGCCTACTACAAATAGCCAACTGATCACAATAAAAATGTTCAATATGTACATCCTTTTTGTAACATAAACATGATCCAGTAATATACAATTACATATTTGGAATACAACTATACACACGTATGGACGGGTACAAGAATCTAGTGAGGACTATTTACAAATTTTCATTTTTTCTCAAAAATAATAGAAGAGTTTGACATGACAAATTGAATGTGATTATTTAGACAATGATTAAACAGAGGACCATGAAATATACAGAGGCGTCTGCTAAATTTACTGCAGTCACTAAACTAGAGCTTTACTTCATACAAGGGCAGATGCGTTTCTAAGTCGTAAACTCAAAAGGTGTACACGTGTATAGGTAAATAAGTTATAACATTTAAGAGCTCACATGCTAACTCTCAAGAAAGCATTAACATAGCACTTGACACATAAACAATATTCATAACAAGTACAACAGGCGGTATATTGATAGCTTCTTTGCCCTTCAGTTTATTTGCTTGCCAAATTTATGGTCACCATAGTATTAAAAGAACAACATATGAACACTAATTTTCGTTTCATTATAGCAGTACCACAGTAGAATTTTAAAATTCCTAAAACATCCATAACATGCCGAAAGGTGCCGCGATGTACAGTACTCTGTAAGTAATGTTTTGAGACCTATTTTCCGTCTCGTTTTCCTCGTGATTTTCTTTTGCAAACCACGTAGTAGGACTTGTGATACAACTATGGCTGGAAAGCGCTACCTGCGGTAGCCAGACTCATGCTCTTCAGTTTATTGTCCTTTTTCCATTTCATCCGCCGGTTTTGGAACCATATCTTAATTTGACGCTCTGAGAGGCATAGAGCGTGGGCTATCTCTATCCTCCTCCTTCGGGTGAGGTATCTATTGAAATGGAACTCTTTTTCCAGCTCTAGCGTCTGATAGCGGGTATATGCAGTTCGGGCCCTTTTGCCGTCTGGTCCAGTCATATCTGAATAATGTGGACAAAACGCAAAGGGGAATAAAGATTAGCGAGAATTGACCTGCACACCATTTCAACAACAGTTTCCAACAACTTTTTTGCTATAGATACACATGAGTGACGCGATTTACAACTGAATGCGTACAGGGAAATCGCCAAATGGTACACTGCACAGCGCCTCACTCTAGGCTCATGTCGTTTGTTTTTTGTTTCGTTTTACTTCTTAAAACCTCAGTATTTTATAGATGTCATACAGCACCAAACATTCGTAATTATTATACATATTCAATTTTTTCTGCCGCTTGTTTAGCCTATCCATCCCACTTTTCTCGCCTTTTATCCCGTGTTCTTTCTCTCTGTTTTATAACCGGTTCACCAACACTAAACTAATCACATTCCCACACACCATAAAGCTGAACTTTTCACAGAAACAAGAACTTGTAAACCTTCCTGCCCTCTCTTCCACCCCGCTCCCATTCTCTCTTCTACAGTTTGCGAGGCTCCACACTTGATAGATTTATGGCACTTTCACAGAAATCTAAAATAAAGGCTGTTACTGGCGCCACACTTGAATTAAAATCAGAACTGAACACAATACGCATTCGCTAGCAAACAAAGAGACGTAAACATAACACGTGTGTACCATGGCTAATATGTAGTTTCCTCATCCAAGGGAATATTTGGGGAGCTTGGCCATCGGACGTCGCCGAGGTAGTGGAGGTTGCCGTGGTCTCTTGCTTCTGTTGTGTCCGGGGTGCAGAGTTGTTCGCTCTGTGCGACGCCTCCTCGGTCTCAGAAGAAGCGCTGGCCTCGTCGATTTCTGTGAAATGTGTGTTGTTGGTTAGATTATTACCCGCAGTGGTGGTGCTTTGGTCGGAAGGGGGCGAAGAGCATTTGGGTCCAAGGCTTTCGCTGTTGGAACAAGGCAGTGGCTCCGGAGACGCGAGCGAGCAGCTTGACTGCTGCCGGAATCGCGTCTCCGGGGCTGGCGACTGGAAGACCCGGGAGTTGTCCCCAACCGCCCCAAAGTGGCCAGTGCTGGTTGAACGATTGACGCTTAGGTCCATTCCATTGTAGTTGTAGCCGTAAGAGCCTGAATGCATGGTGCCGGAGTCCCTGTACGAGGCGTTCATAGCGCTGCTGCTAGTTCCATAATTTAGTAACTGATAGTCAGGGCCATTTGGGTAGCGCCCTGAGAACGAGTTTACAAAGTAAGAGCTCATTTAGGTTGTTTTAGAGGGCTTGATTTGTAGATCTTGGTCGTTATAACGCTGTGCTTCACGATTTATGATGTATTAATGAATTATAGCAATGCACTGTACTTCGTTTTTGCTATGTATGCGGCCAAATATGGGGGTGGGGGTGCGTTTGAGAATCACGTGCTTTTGTTGACCAGTCGTAAATTCTCACTGATGACTTCAAGAGGTAATTCATGCTCTATGGTTACAAATGATGACGAGACGGGGAGTCGTTAGACTCGAGTCAACGTGTTCCTCCCTCTTCGGGGATTTGCTGCATGTAAGCGGACAGCGTCACCTACTGGGAATTAAATTTATCGCACACTGGAAAGATATTTTCAGCGCTTAACGCTACCTATTTCTCTTTTAAATGGGAATCAAAAAGATTTTCTTTGTAGTTTGTTGTGATATTAATAATGTTTAGTGTATTTATTGACCCTTAACGCGCACGAACATTGCCCAGAATCTATGGGGAGTACTTGATAGGCAAATATCAATATACAGTTAACTGTAACATTATTCCGGATATAACAAAAAATAAATAAAACTATTCTATTTTAAACATGTTAAGAATATATTAAGATTTAGTTCTTGAAATTATAACGGTTGTAATTGTGTGAAACCCTACGGCTACTCCAGTAATTTAAAATTGTACCTTATGTCAAGTTACAATAATGATTTTAAAAAATGTAGCACTGATGAGGACATTGACTACATGAGATATAGTCTTACCGAAGATGTATTTTTTCAAACTCAAGAAGCGATGTAACTTTTACTAGACGTGTTCCAAAGATGAGCTTCTCACAAAGCAAATTCTATGGAGTGAATATAAGGAATGCGAGATCGTGATTTATGTTCCAAGATGATATATGGTTTGTTGACAAAACGCCAATTGCTGCTTCATGTATGTGCATGATGTAAATCTTTACTGAACTTCCATGCACTTTTGATTACGTTAAAGCCTGCAAAGGACCATTGAAATACCTCAGATCAACATTTACACTGACATTTTAGCAAAACTTTTGTTGCTCAAAAAAAGTGCAGAATTTAACAATAAGTAACATACATTATTCTAGCCTGCGAAGAAGCATGAAGTCCATCCATTGTCCTCTGTGAACACATGCATAGATGCATGTATACATGTTTTTTCATATATAAATATAATTTAATGTGACGTTGCTTGTCTGTAGAAAACATCTGCATTATTGTTGTTTTTTTTTTCTATTAAATTGTGTGTCTGATTTTGGGTTTGTTTTTTGTTTTGTTTTTTTGTTTGTTTTTTTGAAGAGGCAATTAGGAACCTCCACCTGAAAAATTTGGTTTATTGTCGCTTAGCCCTCCAGGCTGTATAGTCTCCCAGGGTGAGTGACCAGCGCCGACAGGTCAGCTTTCTCTTTTGGTTATCTATTAAAACCTGCTGAACCTTTTCACCTCTCCCTTTGTAGGAAGTATTTTGGAACCAAGTGGGCAACGTTCGGCCTCTTAGTAGTACAGAAAGCGAAACCAAATCCCTAACTCAAACTTTTTGGGGCTTTGTACCTGTCTAATGAAATCAGGAAAACGTGTGACCATTATTTGTACTAAAATATCATATGCACATTCATAAATGTTTCATAAATGTACATATTATCCAGCAGGTACTGAATTTTCATACTAGTTACGCAGAAGGGTGCATGTATATTGCGATGCCATACAGACTAAAGTTGCGGTAAAGGCTTAATTCTCATTATATCACCTACGGTGAATATGTTTAAACTAGTTTTCTTGACAAAATAATAATAATAATAATAATAATATAGGGAAAGCATAGCATACAGGTGTTTTACCGCAAAATGATTCTTCTTTTCATATGTTCGGCCGTCATCATATGTACAGTATGACAAGCGGATTGATTTGTTTGTTTTATTGAATAACAAACAAATGTACGTTCTCTCTCTCTCTCTCTCTCTCTCTCTCTCTCTCTCTATATATATATATATATATATATATATAACATTTATATAGATAGATAGATATACAGACTGTTGTGTTCCTACTATGTAGCTAGAATGGTTTTCTAGAATCTCTAACTGCTTTTCACCCAGTCTCACTAAAGTTTAACGTACAAAAACATGAAAGATAGTAAAACGTTTTCCGTACAATGGGAATTTATTTTTTTATTTTTACACAGCTTAAATATAAACACGAATATGACACAAATTTCAAATAGCTTCGTTCAACATGGGCATTTCAGTCATACGAGCAAATCTAAAGTCAGAGTAAGAGCGCACTAAACCACATGTTTTAAACGTCATGTACAAAAGGAAAGAAATCACAAAGGAAATTACAATTATGAGTTAACAGGAATGCTACAGTTTCTAACATGATGGAAAGTCTTCATTTGTATTATTACAGAGTTGTGTCTGGTGACCTCTATGCAATAGTTTTCTTTTGGGGGGGGGATTTTATCGTTTAAAATTTCATTCTGTCCTCTTCTCCTCCTCCTCTTCGCCACTGGTTTGTGAACCGCTGATCACTTTGTTCTCTTTTTTCCATTTCATTCGCCGGTTTTGGAACCAAATCTTTATCTGACGTTCTGTCAGGCACAGTGCGTGCGCAATCTCGATGCGGCGTCTTCGGGTCAGATACCTGTTAAAGTGGAACTCTTTCTCCAATTCTAACGTCTGGTAGCGAGTGTACGTCTGACGACCCCTTCGGCCCGCGTTACCGAAGGTCCCTGTCCATGAGATAAAAGAAAAAAGTCAAACATTAACACCGAAAGCGTGATTTGTGATATTATTACAATGATAAATGTGTCCTGAGAAAACAACTCGGAGGTGACACAATGACAAGAAACACTCAAGACAGTGTGAAATTTATGCACCTACAATACAGTCCACAATATCACATATTTTTGCTATTTTGTATTTTTACCATATTTAAATATGATTATTATGGCAATTTTCAGTTATATGGTCCTAATTTAAACGCATGTGCAGACATATTGAGAGGGAAAATGCAGAGGAAATGTTATTCTCCTTATTTTCGTTACAGATATAAACAAAAGATACCGGTCTATTTATATGCTTCATATCTAACTTTATATCTGAACATAGACGCAATGCGTCCAGTAATAGTTTGAGCACTTGTCAAAGTTGTGTTTGAACATGACTGAAACATATACGCGTACAAAGATGTCCATACTGCTGATCTTTTTTATTTTTAAACATGAAACTACTGTTAACGGACAAGGGTTAGTAATGGGCAGCGAATAAAATCAAGTTATAAAAAATGCACAGAGTATTCAGCTTCTATTGTCCCTTAGAGTTTCGTGAACTATTGCGTAGTCTAATCATAGGATATATTACGTGTTTTATATTGCCATGTACTCGCCATTGTTCGTATCACAAGAAGGCACAAACAGCAACAGATGTGTCAAAACAACAATGGTCATTTTGTAATAGGACATACGGTAATGCAACATTCTGTTTATAATTAGACAAGCTTCTCCAGTGATTAAAATGATATGAGCCTTGCGGCGAACATATTTCTAAAAGTCCTCCCTCAGAAGCAAGTACAGTACATATGAGAGATTTCACAGAACTTTACAGGAGTGGCTTTGCTTTCAGTATGACATTATGGTGGAGACGAGCGTATTTGCACTGTATGGGCTTCCGGCATTGTACAGTGAAGCTGTAAGTCACTTATAGCACGCTCTAGCTCCGTCTTTATTAGCGATGAGAAAAATGAAGGGTGAAAAAGACAACATGAACTCACCGTTACAAGAGTTCATCCGTTGCATCCAAGGATAAACCGGCGCTGACGGCTTCTGTTCGTCGGCCTCAGGGTAGATGCTTTTCCCCGTCGACCCCGTGCAGTCTTGCTTGCGATGATCCTGACTGAGAACGAACGAGTGTTCCTCTATGCTGGCGAGGGCGCAGGCTGGGTCCTTTTCCCTGTAGAAGCTTGCTGTCGCATAATCGCAGGGACCGGCGGCGGTTGCCCTGCCGTAGGCACCGTTCGCTTGCTGGTAAAAAGAGGATGGGTACGCCTTCTCTTGGACACTGGAACCTCCATAAGCAGCACCGGTATAGTGTCGTAAAGGGTCTGTGTATCCGGAGGAATATAACGGTATCTGTCCCAAGAACGACTCCTGTCCTCCGGGCAGAGTCACTGGGAAAGTTGAGTTTACAAAATAGGAACTCATTGGGAGGGTACGGCTCTTTTGCTTGGTTTATGATTTGTTGTGTTTTATAGTCCAAGTGGTTTAGCTATTAGTAGTTTATCGGAGATTGGGTTTTAGTTGGGGGGGTGGGGGGGTGTTCTGGGTGGCTATGTGCCAGTGCGGGACAGAGGGAAACCGTACCATCTGACCAGCCACTGACCAATAGCGAGCGGACGTGCCTGCAGAATAGTATCCTTGAGGGGGGCTGTGATTGCACGCGCCGGGGGACCCCGGAGCAGAGAGCTAGCTTTTTTTAATCCCTTCACCCTTTCCGTATACCCTCCAATGAGATTGCACAATATGAGTCACATAGGAATTTTAAAACACTAAATTGAATACATGGACACGTTGTGCCCCCACATACAGTCGGCTTTGGTCCTATCAAACCATTGGAGAGTAGAGTGTCAACATACAAGCTCTGGAGTAGCAGATTTCCCAAACACACATTATTCCGTACAACATTTGATAATTTTTCATCCTTCCTTATTTATATTTCAGATAGGTAGTTTACAAGGTCTTATCGCACAAGTAGGTCACAATAGATAAAAATGACATATTGATGATCGCGGCTTCATCGCTTTTTTTCATCACTGTAATTTCATAGTGATTTATAAATGGCAAACGACGTGTTAAAGAAAACCAAAGCCTATATATAAACAGTGCAAAGTAACTGAGCCTGAGCAAAACTACTTAACAAAATCCAATAGGTAACAGATATGTTGTTGTATACACAAAACTGTTTATTATTATTTTTGTAATATTTAGTGATAATCAAAATTATTAAATATTAATTTTGACACATAATGATAGTTTTTGATATGTGTGTGTGTGTGTGTGTGTGTGTGTGTGTGTTTGTGCGTGTATCTAGTATATTGTGC